ATATTAAAGTGATCTTCTTATTATTTTATTTTTTTTAGATTTGAATTTCATTTTCTTAATGCACCGCCAACATGGATCTCTGTTTGCCCAATGTTTGACTGGGAGAAAATGCCTCAAGGTGTTAAGTCCGCCATGTGTACCTTTATTTATGTATTTGTGCATTAAAGTTTTAATAAATAAATAAACTAGAGAGAGAATTAAACTCAAGTAGTAAAATTTTGACGGGCAGCGATACCAGCTGTCAAGGAAACTACTTAACAGAAAAACCATTAGCAATGACGTGATAAATAATGTGAATATAATGTTTGTATTGGCTGATAACAGACTGTATTGGCCAGGCAGGCCAATAAAACTTATCAATATAGAAACGTGCGTGCATGCACTTCAATTGAAGAAACTAGAAATAGGTATGTCTAGTGTTCCTAGTTTACAAGAAGTCAATTAATCGGTTAAATTATTACAATGTTCATTGAAGAAAATTATAGAAATACTAGCTACTCGGCCCGGCTTCGCACGGGTGTACATGTATTATACATATAAACCTTCCTCTTGAATCAGTCTATCTATTAAAAAAACCGCTTCAAAATCCGTTGCGTAGTTTTAAAGATTTAAGCATACATAGGGACAGACAGCGACAACGACTTTGTTTTATACTATGTAATGTTAAGGTTCCGGTTTTTTTTTATACATTCTTCAATTACTTTTTAATATATTGTGCCTACATCCATCGCCCCGATAACGCGTTATATAGCGCACGGGTGTACATTTTAGTATTATACATTTTTCATATATTGTTCGTAGTGTTACATATATATTATTGAGAGATTGAAGAAACTGAGTTTCCTAAATTGCTTGGTTCCTTATCTATTTCATGTTTGGGGAATGCAATAGCATGTCTGGCCTCGTGGGCTCTTGGGCTATAAAGTCAGTCCACGTTACGACTGCGCGTCGAATATACGCGTTACAAGTCATGTAGCGGACTACCAAATAAACTTACTAATGTACAATAAATAGTGTAGTTATTACACCTGTATACTCACTACCTACATTACAATAAACAATATATTATGTGGCGACCTCATCACATCTATATATAAATAAAATAGGAGTGTCTGTTTGTAATATTGAAATAACCGTTTTTTGCATGTAGTAAAAAACGGTTATTTCAATAGTTACATACAGCAAAATAACATTTTTTACTATTTTTGGTCTGTCTGTCTGTTTGTTCCGGCTAATCTCTGAAATGGCTGGACCGATTTTGAAGGGTCATTCTTTGGCAGGTAACTGATTTAATAAGGAATAACTTAGGCTACTTTTATTGTAGAAAAATTCTCTAATTAACTATTGCCTTTCACGGGACGAAGTCGCGTATACGACAATATAACGCTACAGCCCTGATACCACCCCGTTTCAATATAATTGGATAAACAAACAAACTGACAATCCACCTAACAGTACACGCTTACATTTGACGGTCTCAGTGGTCTAGCGGTGGACACCGCCGTTCTTATGATAGTCGCAGGTTTGATTCCTTGCACAGACAAAAATTAATTAATATCTATGTCTTAGTGGACTCTAGTGTAATTTGATTCATATTACAAATATGCCTATGATTGTTTGTAATAGTGTGTGTTTACTATATATATTATGTATGTATTTGCAAAATAAAATTATTTATATCAGGCCCTGATACAGTCTTTATCTTGGGACTAGATGGAGCTGTATTCACTTATATCTTTTAAATTATGCAACAAATTTTAATGCTGTTTTCAGCAATAGATAGAGTGATACAAGAGGAAGGTTTATATGTACAAAACATCCATGTTACGGTATACAATATGAGAGAAATTCAATGATTTTTCCTGCATCCGTGCGAAGTCGAGATAGGTCGCTATTGTTTCATAAAGTGATTTTTTTAATTTTCTATGACAATAGCTTTTTTCGTCACAGACCACGCGGTCCATTCTGGAAACCATCGTACAATTCTTGGTAAATCGTCAGCCCTGATACATGCTCATCTTATCATCCTCCACTGGTGCTAAACCGTTATGTAAGGACCCCATTGCTAGAACGTTCCATGTCAGGTTGACTTTCACGCGGTTCCTCCTGGAAACCATCGTGATAATCTTTTGGTGAATTTGTCACGATACAGTCTTATCGTCTTATCATCCTCCATGATGCACCAGGGGCCGAACAAGGTATTAGAGTATTGCATTACCTCGGGGACCCGACATGGTAAATCCGGCCCTGTTACAGTCTTAGGGCCCTATGTAATGCAATAGCATTGCCTAGGGGACCCGATACGGCAAATCCGGCCCTGATACAGTCTTAGGGCTCTATGTAATACAATAGCATTGTCTAGGGGACCCGACATGGTAAATCCGGCCCTGATACAGTCTTAGGGCTCTATGTAATGCAATAGCATTGCCTAGGGGACCCGACATGGTAAATCCGGCCCTGATACAGTCTTAGGGCTCTATGTAATACAATAGCATTGTCTAGGGGACCCGACATGGTAAATCCGGCCCTGATACAGTCTTAGGGCTCTATGTAATGCAATAGCATTGCCTAGGGGACCCGACATGGTAAATCCGGCCCTGATACAGTCTTAGGGCTCTATGTAATGCAATAGCATTGCCTAGGGGACCCGATACGGCAAATCCGGCCCTGATACAGTCTTAGGGCTCTATGTAATGCAATAGCATTGCCTAGGGGACCCGATACGGCAAATCCGGCCCTGATACAGTCTTAGGGCTCTATGTAATGCAATAGCATTACCTAGGAGACCCTACACGGCAAATCCGGCCCTGATACAGTTTTAGGGCTCTATGTAATGCAATAGCATTGCCTAGGGGACCCGATACGGCAAATCCGGCCCTGATACAGTCTTAGGGCTCTATGTAATGCAATAGCATTGCCTAGGGGACCCGATACGGCAAATCCGGCCCTGATACAGTCTTAGGGCTCTATTTAATGTATTGCCTAGAGGACCCGACATGGTAAATCCGGTATATACTCGGTTTACTCAACGAATCCCTTTTACGGTTAACACACCTTCAAACGTATATTATCACATATTACGCTCGTACTCACTGCGAACGAGTTCTCCACAACTACTTTAAGTGACATCGCCAAATACGTGGAGTAATTAACATCAAGTATACATAATTAAAATATTTTATCTTTAAAATTACTGAAACATCACATCTTTACCTAATTAAACGTACTAAATGTACGATAATGCTGTAAGACACAATTTAAAAGTAAAACATTATGACAGCCCCAATAGTCTAACGGTTTAATACATCGCCTTACATTTGATGGTCACGGGTTGAATTCCTCGCACGGACAAACATTTGTATTCATGAGTATGATTGCTTGTATCGGTCTGGGTGTTTTCTATGTATAAATAAAAAATATTTATGTTTTTATTTATATAAGTTGTCTAGTACTCTCTCTAGCAACTTGAGATTAGTCGGCGCTACGTAAATTTCAGCGATATATTTTTATTTTTCGGTTTTTCAACTAACATGTGTAATAATAATAATGATTAAAAAAAAGGGGGGGGGGTTGTTAGTTATGGGGAGTGATGACCTCATTGCTAGCAATGTACCATGTCAGGTTGACCTACACGCGGTTCCCCCTGGAAATCATCGTGATAAGTTCTTGAAAAGAAAGAAAGAAAATTGTTTATTTGGTACACTGAAAATAATTTTTAAATTTTAATTTTATATTAATTTTACAGTACCAAATAGGTCTCCGCTCAGCATATGTCGTGACGGGGTGTCACGACGCTGGTTTTCTGTGGACACCTTCATATATAATAAATATAATAAAATAATAATAATAATACACATACATACATAAATCTAGGCGGATAACAATATAGGAAATCTTGGTGACTTTGTCACGATGTGCTAACTGACATGACCTCATGTTCATCTTATCACCCTCCACTGGTGCCCCGCCAGCGTAAACCGTTAGCGCAGGCGGGTGCACCAAATCATTATTAAACATTAAAAAAAAATTTTTGTACGGCCAAATTAAACCAATATATTGCTTTCTCACAAGGTATGTATGAACATATAGTACAATATGCGACTGCAAACAATCAATCGGTTGGCCTCGTTTTGGTAATATATAGACGTGACTCATACATGTAATTCATCGTATCAATATTTTAATTGCTCCCGCAATATGCAACCTTGGACAGGTCCCTGTTTATTTATATGTCATACTATATTCTATATATATGTATCATCTGATAGCATAAAGATGGATTCTTTAGTTTAGCGGTTTATTAATAATAATAATAATAATCTCAGGACAATTCACACAGCGCCATCTAGACCCAAGTTAAGCTAGCTAAAGCTTGTGTTATGGGTACTAGATAACTGATACAAATACATAATATACATTGAAAACACCCAGACCGATACAAAGAATCATACTCATGAATACAAATGTTTGTCCGTGCGAGGAATCGAACCCGCGACCATCGGACGTAAAGCGGTGTGCTAGACCGCTAGACCATCGAGATTGTCGCATGCCTCCTCCTAATGAATCTATATTAAAAATCATATGAACATCTCGGTTAATGAATTAATTAAAACAACATTTTTTCTCTTTCTGCTTGTGATAAGTCTGCATTGTGAATGAGTGGTAGATAAAAAGAAAAAATGACTATTCTTACTTGAAATAAAGATTTAATTTAATTAATAGTGAATATCACCAGTTTTTTTTATTATATTATTGAAATGCTACCGGCCAGCCTTATGGCAAGTGGTAACTGTTGTCTATTATACATGATTCAATTTATCACGTAATCCCACTAATATTATATTATCTCGGTCTCAGTGGTTTAGTACACACCGTATCTCACTTCCGACGGTCGCGGGTTCGATACCTCTAAAAATAACATTTAAAATAGTAAAAGTATGTACTAGTGTAAGTTTAAAATAGTATTCAAGTAAAATATATTTTGTTTGTTTGTTCGCAGTATGTCCGAGGGGGACGTGTCGTTAATACACGACGAGGACGTGTTACGGCGTATGGTGAGTACACTACACTAAATTACACTATACTACACTACACTACACTGCACTAAAGTATGCTAAAATACAGTAAGTGGTACAGTACCACTTTAGTGTGCTTTAGTGTTAGTTCCAATTTTATTAATTCATTCTATTTTATTAATAGACATTCAAATGTATTACATTTAATGTAATATTTGAATGTAATGTGTAAACTTCGTATTTATATTTACTGATATGTCAAATTACCGTCAGTTCGGAGTGATTTCGAGATGAGAAGAACTGACAAGAAACTCATCTCGTATTCTTTTCCAATGAGATTGTACATGATTACAAGTGTTAGATTTATTTTAAATTCAATTAGAGATTATGTATGACCATCAGCATGTGCTATTGCATTTTTGTGAGGAGAAAATAATTCATTCACTGTTTGTAACTCGAACAGATCAGTTCCCACAAGCAGTTCATTAATAATTTATAAAGCTTTACATGCCGGTAAAGTTATTGCCACTTATCACGATCTTCTGTCATTTTCTTTACGTCATGATACGATACATGTGTTTGTAATATATAAATAATCATCATCACTACATAAATGTAAAACAAAGTCGCTGTCGCTGAGTGTCCGTCCGTACATAGGGACGGACACACAGCGACAGCTGTCTGTCCCTATGTATGCTTAAGTCTTTAAAACTACGTAACGGATTTTGAAGCGATTTTTTTTAATAGATAGAGTGATACTAGAGGAAGGTTTATATATATATATATATTACATGGGAGAAGCCGGGGCGAGAAGCTAGTAAGTTATATTATAAGAAGGGTCTGATAACGCCTGATTAAAGTTAGTTAGCAATAATGTTCAGATTTACACCTTTTCTAATGGTTTATTTAAGAAAATAAGAAATCCATATATACCTTCACGACTATTATCCAAGATGGTGTTAATAGAGACATTGTCAACTATTACCTACATATATGCATTACTTACTTTACTAGTAGCTTGTTTTACTCTTGGTGATCATACCTACCAAGTAATTAATAAATAAATAAACCTGACCAATTAACACAATGCCATCTAGTCCCACGGTAAGCAGAGATTGTGTTATAGGTACTATTAGACAACTGATATAAATATTTAGATATATTTATATATTTCAATACATACATAATATACATAGAAATCACCCAGGGAATTGTACTATATTAACATTATTCTCTTACATATCAAATGCATGATGCTATTACTGAGGGAACCCATTATCGTGTTACAATGGTCTAATTTAGCACTGAATTTACTCCGCTTTACTTCCGATGGTCGCGGGTTCGATCCTGGCATGGTAGAAACATTTGTATTCATGAGTGTAACCGGTCTGGGTATTATCTATGTATATCATGTACTAGCTGAATTTACTCCGCTTTACTTCCGATGGTCGCGGGTTCGATCCTGGCATGGTAGAAACATTTGTATTCATGAGTATACGTAGTTTGTATAGGTCTGGGTGTTATTTATGTATATCATGTACTAGCTTTTGTCCGCGGTTTCGCTCGCGTTAATTTATCCCCTTAGGGGTGAAATTTATCAAAATCTTTTCTTAGGGAATGCCTACGTCATAGTAGCTTTATGCATGCAAAGTCTCAGTCCGATCGGTTTAAAATTGACAAAGTTTCATACAAACTTTCATCCCCCATTTTATCCCCTTGGGGGTAGAATTAATCAAAATCCTTTCCTAGCGGTTGCCTACGTCATAACATCTACCTGCATGCCAAATTTCAGCCCGATCCGTCCAGTGGTTTGGGCTGTGTGTTGATAGATCACTATGTCAGGCACCTTTGAGTTATATCATCTTATATATAAAATTCTCGTGTCACAGTTTTCGTTCCCATACTCCTCCGAAACGGCTTGACCGATTCTCATGAAATTTTGTGAGCCTATTGAGTTGGTCTGAGAATCGGCCAACATCTATTTTTCATCCCCCTAAATGTTAGTGGTAGTCCACACCTAAATTTTATTTTTATATTTTTTGACAAAATTTTTAGTTTTTTTTTTATGATACAACATACAAAAATACATACAATCCTAAATTTTCACCCTTCTATCATCAACCCCTATTTTTTTATAGCGTTATTAATTTATATGACAAAACAACGTTTCCCGGGACAGCTATTATATATATAGATGTATTAAATGATGTAAAAAGTATCTATATATTTATATTAGTTGTCGATAACACATACACAAGATCTGCATAGAGTGGGACTAGATGGCGCTATATTGATATATTAATTGTCCAAGGATATAATACAATTAATTACAGTTTTTTTAATAAAATTGCAGTGGCAACAGACGGAAGACTTTTCACGCAAGAAAGAAATCCGTGCACACATGTACAAGCTACGGGAGGAGCGCCTGCGCAATCTTTACTCACCGGAGCCACAAGCTCGCTCCGATAATAAAGGTGAACTATCTTTTTTAGGACTACTCTAATGCTTTTGGCGGTGAAAGGACATTGTTAGTAATGTGGACTGATCTCATTGCTAGCAATGTATATCAGGTTGACCTCCACGCGGCTCCCCCTGGAAACCATCGTGATAAATTCTTGTTGAATTTGTCACGATGTGCTAACTGACCTGACCTCATGCTCATCTTATCCTCCACTGGTGCCCCGCCAGCGTAAACCGTTAGCGCAGGCGGGTGCATTATATCATTATCATCTATAAAAAAAAACGCTGTTGGCCGCAGCTGGCCTTTACAGCTTCACCGGATGATAGGAGTAAGGTTGCCAATATTATACTGTTTTTCAGTAAATTATACTTTTTACTGTTGAACAAAAATAAGGTATACAATATATATGTATATATTATTATTATATATTGTATGTATTATATTTATGTATATATATTTGCAAGTATTTTTAAATACCTTTATACGTTAGTCCTTTCCCACCACTGACCATCAACCGCTTTCTGTTCTTACCTAATGTTGCCATATGACATTAAGCTCGCCCAATTGTACAATTTTTAAGAGTGCAATAAAGAATAAATACTGTTTTCAGCAATAAAATCTCAACATTTACTGAAATAGTTTTTTCAGTAATGAATGCTAAGTGGCGGGTTGATAGAAATAGACCATCTATTAATTTAGTAAAAAACTGAGCATCTCATTTATTTTCATTTCAATTATATTTGTGGTGAGGCGTATGAAGTTTTTAAGAAGGATTGTAAATTAGTAAGTTGAGTTTTGGTAACCCTAAAACTATGTATTTAAAACAATAAATAAATAAAAAAGTTTTAAACAAAGTTCATTTTTCTAAAATACTATTTAATATTCTTCACACACCTGAATATACTTTATTTATTCTAAGTAAGTTGGTAAACCTGGATAGGGATCGAGTGCAGATGGCACTACAAACTGCGGAAGGACTTATGGAGCGGCTGAAGGCCAACTCCTGCCTGACGGATACGACTTTAGTCTGAGGGCATCGCTAATATAATGTATAGTTCTGATAATGGATGAATATCCAATGGACCCGCCTGCGACGTTTGCTTGCACCAAGCGAGGATAATAGGATGAGTATAAGGTCAAGTCAATTTGCAATCGTGGCCAACTCAATAGGAATTAACTACTATGATTTTCAAGAGGGCGTGCACTGCTTTGTTTTTATACCACATAGGTGGCAAACAAGCATACGGCCCATCTGATGGTAAACGGTTACTGTAACCTATAGACGCCTGAAACACCAGGGGTGTCTCGTGTACGTTGCCGACCCTTAAAAAACGTTGATATACCCTTTTTGAAAAACCCCATGCTGTGTAATCTCTCGATATATTTGATATTATTATTCGTCTAATTTTAGACTTAATATGAGATGTCATTCAATAGTAGGTTTATAATTTTTATTTATTCATTTATTACACTTTATTGCATCTAAAATGAAATGCAACGAATAACATTTATAGAAATGAAGGTACAAAAGGCGGTTGTAAAATCTCGAGCAAAACCTTCCAGATTTTACTGATTGTGAATGATTTTATTTGTGTATTGTTAATAATATTACATCAAAATTGCAAACGTTTTTGTGTTTAATATTGCCAGTACATTATTAGTTATTTTAGTGGCCATCACTTGATAGTATTATCGGAACTAAATCAATGTTTAAACAAGAAGGAGGCCAATCTGTAAATAATATATATACTTTAAGGTAAATTTATTAAATAATAGCTGTCCCCGCGGTTTGACCCGCGTGAATTTTATAGCCTATATGTAATTCTGATGTATAAGCTACATTACTGTAAAGTTTCATCAAAATCCGTTCAGTAGTTTGTGCGTGAAAGAGTAACAAACATCCATCAATACACACGAACCTTCCACGTTTATAATATTAAATATATTTGGTTGCCACCGGCCTTTGTTTGTCTTCTTAGTTATTAAAATGAGACAATAATTATCTGCTAGAGAATGTACTAGAGTAGTTGTGCACGAATTTGGCAGGTTGTGAGTTCACGGCACCGCAGGGGCATGTGAAATCCTTCGCGGACCAGACCTTCCAGTCCATGAAGAGTAAGGAGGTGCGCGACGCGGGCTCCCCGCCCAAGGAGTTCACGTACCACGGCCAAGGTGCCCAACACTACGTCCATATAATCCTAACAGAACTAACGCTTATTAACCGGTAACACTCGCAAATGAACCAATACCTTCTATTTCATGGGATATTTCCTTTTACAGATCTCAAGGCGCTCTCTAATGCCGGATGGAACGTAGAATCTGAGCAGAAGACCACTGACGATGGACACACTCACGTTAAATCTGTTAACGCCAATATCGAGGGAAAGTACGACGTGGAAGGCGGGAAAGGACAGTTCGCTGCCGTCGACCAACATAAGCATGCCGTTACTGAGTACCACGATGATAACACCAGCCTAAAGAGGAACGAAAGTTCGTCAAATACGGCTGCACGCGAGCACGTCGTGCGGCAGACAGATGATGGCACTCAGATCTCGTCGGTGACGAGCTCCTCTACTGCCACGTCCAAATATCAACAAACGTCGTCCACAAAACAAGAATCAGTGCCATATTTGACTAATGATGACTATGACCAATTTCGACAAACTTCATACGACACTAACCGTAACGAAAACTTGACTACTACAAAACAAGTTACACAGAATGACGATTATGAGCACAGTTTAAGAAAAAGTGATCGTGTAACTGGGGAATTAGAATCGAGGAAAGTAGAATATCCTGATGAGAATACGAAAATTGTGGTAGAAACAAGATGCTTACCAGATGGTACTAGAGTGACAAGCACTCGCCGCGAATTTAGAGGACCGGCAGTACAGAGTACTCGTTCAGAACAACGCTCACAGCAAACTAGGAGTGAAAACAGATCTACTTACTCCACTTCATCGCAACAAAACACCGATTACAAGGAATCTACGTCTAAAATTATTAATGACAACTTTGACAGTCGTGTTGCCGATATCGTCGATTCCCAAAAACAGGTTGATGATTATGATTTCAAAAATAATCATCAAACTGATATTTTACGTAATGACAAAGTACATAGTCATAATGTTACAAAATCAACTGCAACGCATACTGAGCACCATGAACACCATGAACCTAAAAATCGTGAGCGTACATCCCCTGTACCTGTTACATCACAGAACAAACAAAATATCCAATATATTAATAAAGATGTGGAAGAAAAAGTTCGTGACATATCCACAGAAAGGCGAGTTGAAGAAACAACTCAGAAAAAAAGCGATGAGTACCAAACAACGTACCAGGCTGAATTCACGCAAAAAAATAAAGTGAGTAATGACTGGAGTCCAACTCATCAAGCTTGGGCTAGTACTCTTCGAGCTGACACCCCTACTTCCACTCGTCCATCAACTAGAGCTTCATCACCCGGTGGTCGCAACTTTCAATCAAGCACTTCTTCTTTAAGAAGTAGCGTAAGTCCTGATAAAAATTATAGAAAACCTTCCAGTCGTGGTGGAAGTCCAAACAAATTTGATCGATATTCACCGACACGTAATACGTCTGATAAATATTCTAGTACTCACTCTACTTACCATGTTACTGATGCTAAGACGACTAGATATTCTAGCCCTGAAGAACGTCCACTAGAAAGTAATTTATCTTCAAGTCCTAATCAAAAACTTCATGATAATGGCCGTCAAAGGCCAAGTGTTAGTCCCGATAAATATCCCCGTAGTAGCAGACCAAGTGAGAGTCCTGATCGAAAACATACATATAGAACTAGTCCTGTTAAGGAAGTATCTAAAGTGAGTCCTTCTTCAGAACAGGAAGTTATATATAGATATAGCGCAAGTCCTGAGAGAAAACTGGCTAGTAATACAAGAAGTAATATCACAACGAAAAAAAGTACTTATACCAGCCCAGAAAGAAAGCCAAATGATAATTCTCCAAAGGCAAGCTCTCCTACAAGGACCTTAACTAGAGATGAAATCCCATTAAGATCTAGTCAAAGCCCTGATAAAAAATCTAGCCATCAACCATCTCTGAAAGATAAACCACACAATGATTCTAAAAATAAAACACCAATTGAAAATTATTCCAGGGCAACGTCACCAAAACGACCTTTAAAACAACATGAAAGTTCTGTGCGACCAAGTTTGAGTCCTGACAAAAATCAAACTGAATATCCCAAGGAGAGTTCATCACCAAGAACACAAAAACCTCCCGCAGGTGAAAAACATATAGAGAAATCTCCAACCAGATCTCAGCCTTCAAAACCAAGCCCAAGTCCTGAAAGAAAACTCACCTCTCAGAGTCCTGATCGCAAATCTACCGGAATAAGAATGATCAGTAAAATTAAAGATGATCATTATAAGTTTGTCGATGAAGAAACGAAAGTATATGATTATACGAAAAGTGATACGAGAGATGTAATGAAAGACACTTTCTCAACTCCGAAATACCCTGGTGTTCATCAAAAAAGTCCGTCTCCATCCAAGAAATTACCTCAAGATGTAACTGACTTCTGTCATCCTGATTCACCTCCTCGCTCAACACTTCGGAAACAATCTAGATCGCCATCTCCTTCTAAAGGTTCAGTTTCGTTCAAACAACATTTAGACCATGTTGAGAATACCGAAAAAACTTCGTCTATAACTAGTGTTTCTACAAATTATAATGAGAACTCCACTATAACAAAACATGAAGTAACAAAGAATAGTGGTGCGCCAACGCCAGTAAATGATTTTCCTAAAGAAATGTCTCCATCCAAATTTGGAACGTACGATAAAAAACAACGTCATTCTCAAGACTATCAAGATACAGAAAGTATAACAACTAACAATACAAAATATGATTCTTTAACACGTCGGAATAAATCAAATTCACCTACTAAAGTATATGATTCTCCTGTTTCTCCTAAAAAATCACCAAGAGGAAGTATTTCTCCAGTTAAATCTGTGAATAAAGACAGCCAATACAATCAGACAAATGATTTTATATCCACAGAAAAAATCAGAGAAGAAAGTACTAGGACTAATAAAAGTCATGCAAGACAGTTGGTCACACCATCCACTAGTCCTACTAGAAAGCCTAAACCCTCTGAACAAGAACCTTCCACTGGCCAAAGTTCACCTACAACATCAGTTAGTGGATTTGTTTACTTTAGCAGTCCCCAAATCGATACTGTTGTAACCGATATAGATGACAAAGAATTCTGCTCTAAAGCAGATAATATTGACGAGAGTACTATATCAAAAAGACCAGAAAGTCTACACATAAATAATAAACGTTCTCCATCACCATCTAAAATACCATGTAGATCTCCAACGCAAGACAAGCATTCTTCATCTAGAGATACGCTTCCTAGAAAAAGTTCACTAAAAAAGCCTGTAACAAATGATAATTTAATATCTCCAATAGAGAAGCCACCATCCAGTTTCCAGATATCTCCAACAGTTGAAGCACAGAACTTACCTGAACACAAAACTGTTAAAAAAGAACATCCAGGAAAGCCTGACTCTGAGTCACCAGCAAAGTCAAAACCTCCATTGAAAAGGCGAGAAACTTATGATGAACGATGTAGAAAGATTCTTGGCATGCTTGATGATCAAACAACATCAACCACGACTATCGTAAAAGAGACGATACAAACACCAGTATCTAACAAGAATACACCCAGCATGTCACCTTGCGGTAGTCCAAAACAGCAATCTCCCTATAGAGATGTTGAAGAGGATACTAATATCAAAACGAAGAATTTCATAACTCAGGAACAAGAAAATATTCTGAAGACTCGTCATAATGATATTATACCGGGAAAGAAATCTAAAATTCCCTCAAGGGAGAATTCCCCTACTAAGGTTCACGATGACATTATTCGTACTCGTACTACGACTACACAAGATGATAAATCAACTTCTGAGGATTTTTATGAAAATATTACAACAGTAAATAAAAATTCATCATCAAAACACAATATTGAACATACTACTAATAATATTAATATCGAGAAAAAGCAAGTAGAAAGCAATCCTAAGAATGAACTTTCATCAAGACCAGAGCGTTCTCCAGAGCGTCCTCGATCAGGTTCTCCTTCGAAAACTTTAAAACACAATGAAATAAAACCTACATCTAGGTCGGATCGTGATCAGCCACTGACTACAAATATAATTCCTGAGAGTGCTCATTTAATAGAAGATTCTGCTCCTGTTCATCCTAAATCTACAATTATATCTAAGACTGACAAATATGACACCACACATCTGGCACTAGAAGAAGAAAATATTTCAAATAAAATTACTATAAAGAAACATTCATCTACACAAGACACTGCTCATAATATATCTACCAAGCAATCTCAAGAACCTAAACATTCTCGGACTCCTTCTCCGAACAAAACAAATTATATTAATAATAATGAAAATAATACAAGTTTCATAACATCGGAGAGAGAACAAGAAATATTGAACAGAGTCCAACAATCTCTTAGAAAATTGTCACCAAAACGCAATGAAAGATCACCGAGTCGAGAAAACAGTCCAACTAAAACGACTACTAGTTTACAAGATTTAGACATAATGTCCACTCAGAAGACAAATACTGAAGACATTAATAAAGAGAAAATTAGTAGTGATTTGACTGTAACAGTAAAATCGACTGTAAACAACGATAAACCGAAAGAACAAAGATTATCCAATAAACCTTCAAGAAATATATCTCCAGTAAAGAAAGCTACAAACATAGCATCTCCAGCTAAAGTAGGCAAGTCTTCCGATTCTCCGACGAAATCTAGAAGCATATCGCCCAAAAAATCAGTTAGCGTTGAAAGACCTCAATCGCCACAATTATCTAAAATAAGTGGCATCAAACCAAAGGAGACTACTCCTTCTCAGTTGGCTCGAAAACCTGGATCATTATCACCAACAAAAATAGAGAAAACATCTAGTACTGATAATAAAAAAATTATAAAGCAAAATAGCTTCACAAAAGCTACCTGTAAAACAACAACAAATAAAGTTGTTCATTTGCCAACTAATAAATCTGTTGAACCTGATATCAAACGTACACCTGTAACCAAAGGAAATAAGGAAAATACTAGTCCTAAGGCAGATATTAATAATGTAGTAACAAGAAGTTCAAGTGATGTTGCCTTAAAATATAAGAAGCCTTCACCACAAAGAATAAAATCTAAACCAGAAATACAAGTAAATGATATATCAACCACCAAAACGAAACAAATAAATTCAAATGTTAATAAAACTCAAAAATTGTCGACTAAGGAAGCTCATACAAAATTACCAAATAAACCTAAATCTGCTACAGCGTTGAATACACCTATGGATGATGATGACTTTATTATTGATGTTCAACAAGCTAAATCATCTAGAGAAAATTCTCCAGACAGGATTTGTCCCACTCCGGTCGGTTTCAGTGAAGACATTGGAACACCGAGATTTCCTGATGAAGTAAGTGAACCAGATGATGATTTTCGTAAAAGAACTCACCACGTAATTCATGAAACGGAATCTATTGTAGATGATATTGTCGAAATATCTGAAGACGATGAACTCTTCGTTAAGAGGTTAAATGCTGATAACACTATAGAAACTGACGAATGTCTTTTAAGCGTTAATGATAAAGTTTCTAAATTCACAAACAAAATCGAAAATATAACTAAGCCTAAACAGTCAACTATGCAATTCAAAGAAACGGAATGCAGAGTCCATTCAGATTATACATCTGAAAAAGTTGGCTCTGATGAATGTTTACTTTCTGTTTCCGAAAAAGTCAATAAATTTGCTAAAGGTCCACGAGGTATACAAGATAATAGAAGTCCAACGCGTAGGATCGTTGACGAATATGACACAAATACAATTTACCAGGATGATTACACCAAACTTAGTGTCAATGATAAAGCTCATTTGTTTATAGAAACAGCTGAAAATTCTAAAACCTCCAAAATTAAACCAGCACTAAAAATCGAACGTCCAGATATAAGTGACGTTGACGAATCCTTAAAACGTGATGATTGTTTACTTAGTGTGTCTGATAAAGTAAACAAATTTGTGAAAACTGCTGAGCAATTTTTAAATGAAGCAATTGAAGTTGACGAAAAAGAGATAAAAATAAAAGAAAAACATGATAAAATCATGAAAAAAATTACTGATGAAGCATCTGAGTCAAGTAATGTTATTGTTACTGAAGATATCGATAGGGCTAATGAAGTTATTAGAAAACAGGATCAGCATATAAATAAATTAGGCTCATTTACAAAAGAAACTATGTCTTCTCAAGCAAAATCAAAAGATCATATTAGCAGTCACCTAAAACCGACTGAAGGAACGCCTCCTGTTAAAATAACAACTCGCAGCAATGTAGCTGTAAAACAAGCAAAGGCTTTATTTGAAAACATAGCATCAACAAATCAAAAAAATGCCGATATTAAAAATACAACAACAAAATTGACTGACATTGGTGTAATGAAAAAATCTCCAAAAACTGATTCGACAGTAGTTCTTCATCCTTCTTTGGACGACTCTCCTAATATCACTGACATTGATAGTGAAATAGATGGCGTACCACATTTACAGCCGGAGCCAAAAAAGCAGACTATCACTGCACCATCACCACAATTTTCAAATAAAGATCACGGACGCTTAGCCCAATCGCCTGAAGTACCAAGAAACAAATCTCCAATTAGACAAACAATTCAATCAACTAAAACAGTATTTTCAAAATATCCAGTCACGGATGGAGTTGAATCTCAAAAACATGTACAATCCGAAAACGACAAAAATGAGAAATTGCAAGATAAAGTGCCTGGTTATCTAAGACCCACTAAAACTAGTCAGTATAAGGAAGAAGTTAAAATAACTGAGGAATCTGAAGTTAGTAGTCGACGTGGTAGTGGGAAGTTTGGGGTCGAGCTTAGGCGTACTAGTGTGGAACGATCTAGTGCAAGTAGTGAACGACGTCGCAGTGTTGACCACCATCAGCCATGCATTGAAGATATTTTTGATTTGGACCTCCTTGAACAAATGGTCAGTAAAAATACAATTTTAGTTCTTATCAATATACTGTTTATTTTCTTAATTTACTTGTTATTTTACTGACTCTGTTCGAATTTTCAGTTGGAAAAGGTCGTGGGTTACGAGCAGCGGCGACGCATTAGAGCACAAATTCGAGTAGCAAGGAAAAAACATGAAATTGATACGAACATGAATACAACTAAGCGGACAACTATAAGTACCCCAAAAAACAAATCTCCTGAACGTCAAACGACAACGCATGATAAACCAAAATATATACTCCATAAAACACTATCGCCTGATCGCCACACAAAAATAGAAACAGTTACAGAAAATCATAAACAATCTAAGGAATCTCATCTCAGGGTTGTAAATGACTATTCTAAAGAGCAAGTTAAAGAAAACTATGAGAAACGTTCACGACCCTCAAGCCCGGAAAAAATTGCAAATAAATCCATTTCTAAGGCAAAAAGTCCTGTGCGTCATCCAAGTCCAGAAAAGAAAACTAGACCACTATCTCCAAGTAAAGCGGCTACACCTAAATCCAAGCAAAATCGCTTTAATGAATACGCGTCAGCTTACATGAAGAAAGTTGGCTTAAAAGACTCTGATAAAATAAAGATTACAGATGTTAATACGAAAAAATCCACTGAAATCCGTGACCATAAAACGATAAAACATGAAGAACATTTGACTCAATCAAAAGCAACTAAAGAGACGACTACGACAGTATCTCGCAATATAACTGAAAGAACAAGTTCCAAAGATTCTATAGAAATTGTACATGTCAATGGGAAGCGGGCTACTTCGCCAGAGAAAAAATCTAGTCCGGAACGAATAATCGAAATACAAGTTGAGAAAGAACCTCGTCGCTCTTTGAGTCCTATTCTAAAGAGACAGAGGTCAGACATAAAAAAGAAAGAGTCATCAGTAAAACAATTATCAGATTTGGGAAAGAAAATTCAATCAACAACTCACGAGGACAAACCTTCGTGGGTAACAAATAGGAATTTAAAGAAGGTCACTGAAACGCGAACGTACAGCACAAAGAAACTGGAACCTGAAAAGCCGAAGTACCGAGCACCGAGTCCTTCCAAAGTCATCTCGAAGCCCACAGATGTCATCACATCGAGCTACGGTCCAGGACCACTAGATGCCAATGGGAAACCACTATTCGGGATCAAAGCGTTGAGAAACGGAGCCTCTAATTACCAAGGTAGGTTATTACCACTAAAGTAAAACACTTGAGTCATAGGTGATCATATTTACTCAGCTGCAAACTACATATAAAATACACGTATTCATTTATCAACTAACTTAACTTTGAGATCGACGTTTAAAGGTTAGTTTAATTTTATTACTAAAAGATCCATAAATTATTTTGTGTTGTCTAGAATAATTTTTAAAATACATACAAAATTAAGTTTTTAGTTATAAATTGTTCAAATTACATAAAAAAATACTTCTAAATTAACATTATGAAAAGTAGTCTTGATTTTTTATTATAAACTCAAATATATACATTAGCAAGTGACATTTCCAAAAAAATTATGGAACTTTACAATAATTGAATAAAATCAAATACAAATATTTTTATGTAGGTCTATTACAGACTCTCATGATATGTCAAATCTACCGTCAGTTCGGAGTGCTTTCGAGATGAGAAGAACTGACAAGAAACTCAGCTCGTATTCTTTTCAAATAAGCTTATACATGTTTACAATAATACAGATTCATTTTAAGATAAAAATTTGGGAGAATAGAGTTACTACCAGCATAATTTATAACAAATTTATCGATACATATAAATAAAATTGGAGTGTCTGTAATATTGAAATAACCGTTTTTTACTACATGCATATGAATATAAATACGGTATATACACCAAAATAACATTTTTTACAATCAGCATAATTTATAACAAATTTATCTATACTTAAATATATAAATAAAGTTGGAGTGTCTGTTTGTAATATTAAAATAACCGTTTTTTACTACATGCATATGAATATAAATACGGTATATACACCAAAATAACATTTTTTACAATCATTTTATAACAAATTTATCTATACTTAAATATATAAATAAAGTTGTTCTGTTTGTAATATTGAAATAACCGTTTTTTACTACATGCATATGAATATAAATATGGTATGTACACCAAAATAACATTTTTTACCATTTTTGTCTGTCTCTCTATTTGTTCCGGCTAATGTCTGAAATGGTTGGACCGATTTTGACGGGACTTTTTTTTACTAAGGAGTAACTTAGGCTACTTTAATTTTAGAAAAATAAAGTTGAATTCCACGCGGACGAAGTCGCGGGAACAGCTAGTAATAAATAAATTGAGACAGGATAACACTATACATATAAAACATTTATATTCATGAGTATGAATGTTTGTATCAGTTTAGGTGTTTCTATGTACAATATGTATTTAGAAAAAAATCTATGTATATGTATCAGTTATCTAGTACCCACAACACAAGCTTTAGCTAGCTTAACTTGGGACTAGATGGCGCTGTGTGAATTGTCCTATAAGTTTGTGAGTGATGCCTAATGTATGACAATAAGATGTTAGAGACAATGACAGTACGATCTACCTTACACAAACTCCAAACATGAGTGAGTCATTCGACATATTCTAGTGAAAGGCACGGTGATCCGACAAGAGTTTCATTCGCGGAACGGCGGCGAGCCAGAAGGCACGGTGTCAGTGACAGCGTATTCCAACGAGCCTGAGGAACTGGAGCGGCTGCTGCAGGTGCAGGGCGAGCGACCTTCGAGGATGCACGGGCTTGCGGCCATCACGACCACCAAGAAATTCGGAGGCCACACCGGCACCACGATGCGGGAAGCTCACACTGTAAGTCAGTTTATTATTACTAGAAAGAAAAAAGATTTATTCATTGCTTTTTAACAATACATATAAATAAAATTTGGAGTGTCTGTTTGTAATGTTGAAATAAACGTTTTTTACTACACGCATATGAATATTAATAGGGTACATAGGTACACCAAAATAACATTTATAATTTTTGTCTGTCTGCTTTTTCCGGCTGATCTCTGAAATGGCAATAAAGAAGTAACTTAAGCTACTTTTATTTTTAAAAAATAAAGTTAAATTTCACGCGGACGAAGTCGCGGTTGCAGCTAGTCTATATATATAAAGAAAATTGGAGTATCTGTTTGTAATATTGAAATAACCGTTTCTTACTACATGCATATGAATAAATACGGTACATACACCAAAATAACATTTTTTACAATTTTTGTCTGTCTGTCTGTTCCGGTTGATCTCTGAAATGGCTAGTCCGATTTTGACAGGTAGCTGATATAAAGAGTAACTGAAGCTACTATTATTTTAGAAAAATAAAGTTAAATTTCAAGCGGACGAAATCGCGGGAACAGCTAGTATAAAATAAGAACAGTTACTTTAAAGACCGCCAGTATACGGCCTCGGTGGTGTAACGGTTTAGCACACCACTTTACTTCCGATTGTCGCGGGTTCGATTCCTCGCACGGCACAAACATTTGTATTCATGAGTATGATTGTTTGTGTCGGTCTGGGTGTGTTCTCTGTATATTATGTATGTTGTAAAAAATGTTCTAAGTATTTACATCAGTTATTTTGTACTCATAACACAAGCTCTACTTAGTTTGGGACTGGATGGCGCTGTGTAAATTGTTAGACAATTATATATTTCATAATTTTACTTTTTCAACTGTAATCTATACATATACCTAAATAAAATTATTTCTAAAAATAAAAGTAGACTAAGTTACTCCTTATTACGTCAGCTATCTGGCAGTAAAAGTCATGTCAAAATCGGTCCAGTCATTTCAGAGATAAGCCGGAACAAACAGACAGAAAAAATTGTAAAAAAAATTTGTGCTGGTTTATGTACCGTATTTATATGCATATGCAAGAATACGAGCTGAGTTTCATGTCAGTTCTTAGTTCGAAAGCACTCCGAGCTGTGGCTTAAAGATATTGTGATTTGATTTCATCTATACACATAAATAAAATTGGAGAGTCTGTTTGTAATATTGAAATAACCGTTTTTTACTACTTGCATATAAATGAGTACATACACCAAAATAACATTTTACAATTTTTGTCTGTCTGTCTGTCTGTTTGTTCCGGCTAATCTCTAAAATAACTGAACCGATTTTGACGGGACCTTTTTTGTCAGGTAGCTGATTTAATAAAGAGTAACTTAAGCTAATTTTATTTTAGAAAAATAAAGTTAAATTTCACACAGCTAGTAAATATTATAAAGCAAAGTAGTTAACATCGTCTGCCAGTTCATCCGCTTGCTTCTAAATCACGCAACTGTTTTCATACGGTTTTCCCTGTCATTATTATAATGACTTCCGGGATATGAGTCCGTCACACATTCTCTACAATCGTTGCTAAGTGGAAGTGAAAAATTACACGGCAAAAAAATACATACAAAAAGTTCATCAGTCTTATAAGATGACTAGCCGACACCGCAAACGTTATATATATATATTTATAAATTAAAATCACTATTTGAAAATAGGGGTTGGCGGTAGAAGGGTGAAACTTTAAGGGTGTATGTATAATTAATGTCACATGATAAAAAAATTTGTAGAAAAAATGACAAAAAAAATTTTTGGGGTGAGCAACAATATATATTTGTAAATTAGAATCGCTATTTGAAAATAGGGGTTGCTCGTAGAAGGGTGAAAATTTAAGGGTGTATGTATAATTAATGTCACATAATAAAAAAAATCGAAAAAATGAGGTGAGCTACACACCTCGGAGAATTAGTTAAAAAAACCTATTCTCGGACCTACTGAATATACATATAAAATTTCATCAAAATCGGTCAAGAGTATATGTTGAATTGGGAAATACCGAGTGAAATGATCTAGATTTTAAAGGATATTTTTAATAAAATACATGATAAACGTAACTTTTAATCTATCAATATATTTTTTTAACAATGACAGAATTTATTACTCAAATACAATTATGTATATTAACGGTCTATGTTCATTCAACAGTATATACATACACGAACTTGTGACACGAGTTGTGTGTGGTTTATATATTAGATAATAATAATAATAACAACACTGCACAATTCACACAGCGCCATCTAGTCTCAAGTTAAAAAAAGCTTGTGTTATGGGTACGAAACGACTGATACAAATTCTTACATACATTTTTTTTTCTAAATACATACATAATATACATAGTAAACAAACACCCTGATCGATACAAATAATTATACCATAATTGAATACAAATGTTTGCACCGTGCAAGGAATCGAACTCGCGACAATTGGAGGTAAAACGGTGTGCAAAACCGCTAGCTCATTTACTCACAAATTACGGAGGCCACAGACAGAGTTTCCAAAAAAATGCAAGTTCTAAATATATATTTAATTTAAATATATAAAACTCAAAGGTGACTGACATAGTGATCTATCAACGCACAGCCTAACCCACTGGACGGATCGGGCTGAAATTTGGCATGCAGGTAGATGTTATGACGTAGGCATCCGCTAAGAAAGGATTTTGATTAATTCTACCCCCAAGGGGAAAAATAGGGGATGAAAGTTTGTATTCAACTTTGTCAATTTTAAACCGATCGGGCTGAGACTTTGCATGCATAAAGCTACTATGACGTAGGCATCCACTAAGAAAGTATTTTGAGAAATTCCACCATTCCAAGGGGATAAATTAACGCGAGCGAAGCCGCGGTCAAAAGCTAGTTATAATATAAAATGGTTACATTTTATATTCTTATAATTAATTAAAACTATGCGATCCTTCCACGATAGATGAATCAAATCTGCTGTATTTCTGTGAGGTGCCCACCTGGGCGAGGGAGGTCAGGTGTTCACGGTGGTGCCTTTGATACGGCAACTTTCTTAGAACGATATTGATGAGGCAATATGACAGGGATGCCACTGTTTGCAGATTCAGGGTTGTCACTCTATATAACCCACATTTAAATTTGTTTTATTTTATATTTGATGACGCATACGTGTACTAAATAACAAAAATAAACTAAAAATAAGCTTAAAAAACTTAAACTTATGTCATACCACCCAGAACAACTTGGCTGCATCGGTAGCTTCTGCCAATGTTTCATGGAATACTCCAATGTCTAACACAGTGGTTCCTAAATAGTTTTTGCTGCGTACCACTTCAAAAGAGACCTCTAACCTTGTGTACCCCTTATTGTAGCAATCACACTAATATTATAAAATTGCTGCGCCCGCGATTTCATCCGCGTAAAATGACGATACTTACATATAACCATTCATCTCCGCTTGCAACCCCTTGCAACCCTTTTTTCGCATTAAACTAAGTAGTCTATGTCCTTTGTCAGGGGCTAGACTATCTGTGCACCAAATTTAATTTAAATCGGTTTAGTGGTTTCGTCGTGAAAACGAGACAGACAGACAGAGTTACTTTCGCATTTATAATATTAAGAAAGGTAGTAAGGATGAGAAAGTTAGTGTGTATGTTTGTTTCACTGATAGCCGCGCCCCTTGATGCAACTTCACGTACCTCTGGGGGTACGTGTACCACTGGGGGTACGCGTACCACTGGGTGTACGTGTACCACTGGGGGTACGCGTACCACTGGGGGTACGCATACCACTGGGGGTACGCGTACCACTAATTGAGAAACACCGGTATAACTTATTTAACTTTAAAGCTTGAATGGTATATTCTCTTTTAGACGCATTACGAACATATCCCATCAAATTGTGATGCAGATCTTCTAATTAAATTTATAGATAGATAGATGATAGATAATAGTTTTTATTTGTATCTTAGTACACACATATAGGCTTAATTATAACATCACATGACAAGTACCTAGAATATAACAATTCAATAAGGATAAACCTGCACGTGTGTGCTACAGCAATACAAAATTGGTACATAGCTCAGTGTGGAGAATCACTCAAGGAGCAAAACACAGATTTTCAGCTATGTCCTCGAGGGTGAATAATGTACCTTGTATTTTTTTTAATAAACTAAAATGTACTGAACGAAATAATGTGAAATAAATAAGTAATAAAAGAACTTGGAAAGTAGGAATTACAGTTAGAGTACCAGAACTTTATAAATACCGAGATATTATAATTTAATTTGATATATATGAATACTATGAATAGGAATATAATAAATGTATAAAAAAATAAACATGAAGGAGTGAAAAATGTATTATTGGAAATGAAAACAATTAGAATGTTACTGCGCTCTGTCACCAGAACAACTTAGTTTTTGTTGCTGTAATAGGTGTGTTTTTATATGTTTTTTTAATGTATATTGAGATGTAATATTTCTGATGCGTGGTGGAATATTTTTTTTTTTATTTATTTATTTAATTCAGGCTACATGGCCCATATTATAAATACCTTATAGACTAACATACATAAGAAATGATAATAAAATATGTAAAATAAAATTGTCTCTATGATCACGGCACTGATGACGGCAATCTGCTACGGTAGCGCCGATAGACCACCCCTTTGGGCCAGTAATCCTCCTTCATGAAGGTGGGCAGCATGTTGGTGGGGACCAGGGCCACGAACGCTTTGAAGCTCGCGTTGTGGCTCGATTCCAACTGCGTCACCCTCAATGTCAGGTTGCTTTTAGTCCGGATGTAGTCAACAATGTCCTGTTCCTTGGTAGAAAATTGTTCCAATATTTAGTAATAAATTCTTGTATCTATACAGAAAGAAGAACGAGCAGCTTTGGAACAGTTCACTCATTCTGATCGTCGTGTAACCAACCGGGTTGACAATGCAAGCAGAAGCTTTGACAAACACGACGACGCCTTAACAGAGTCCAGGAAAGTGGACAAACGGGGACAGAGAACTGAGGAGAGGAGGGAGAAATCTGAAGATAGACGGCAGAGAACTGAAGAGAAGCAGGAAAGAACTCATGATAGAAAAGAGAGGATAGAGAAGAGGGAAGACAGGAAGACAGTGCGGCAGAGCTCAGTTAAATCTCTTACTGAGAAGTTTATAAAAAACGCAAGTAAGTAGATTTATCTATACATATAAATAGTATTAGTAGAGTGTCTGTTTGTAATATCGAAATAACCATTTTTTATTACATGCATATGAATATAAATACGGTACATATACCAAAATAACATTTTTTATAATTTTTGTCTGTCTGTTTGTTCCGGCTAATCTATGAAATAGTTGAACCGATTTTGAAGGACTTTTTTTGGCAGGTAGGTGATGTAATAAGGAGTAACTTAGGCTACTTTTATTTTAGAAAGAATCTTTTAATTTTGAAAAATAGATTTAAATTCCACGCGGACGAACTCGCAAGTACAGCTAGTTACGTAATAATAACTAAAGTAAACTTAATCTTATATATATAATTCTCGTGTCGGAGTTTTCGTTCCCATACTCCTCCGAAACGGCTTGACCGATTCTTATGAAATTTTGTGAGCGTATTGAGTAGTTGAGTAGTTGTTGAGTAGTTGTAGTCGTTTATAGTAGGCTTTTTTGCAAAGGAAGTGTTTTATATGACATTTAAATATATTTTAAATTCAATTTAATTTAATAATTAAAATAAAATAATTAAATATAATTTAATTTAAATTCTTTTTTCAGGCAGATTTATTACGCAATTGCCATAAAACGAATTACTAGGTTTAATTAAACGACATTTAGGTAAAATCAGTTTGTTTTTATATGATTTTGTTTGATGAGCAATAAAGGCAAGAACTGTATTATATATGCACAGAGTAGTCACAGGCTCTCGAAGCTATCAAATTCAATATTCTTTATTCAGATAACAAAATTTTTACTAGTTACTATAGTTGTTCAAGACTCCACTTAAGCATAGAAATGGCCGTGCCAGGAGGCTCCACTATTCCACAGCTTAAATAAACTTACTATAAGTTGATTTGACCCTTTCACATGTCCATATGGAAGTACCGTCGATGGTAGAGATGGCATGTGACATTGGTAACCTGTAATATATATCAAGGTATACCTTGATATATATTATATCTATTATATCACGCTATAGCGTGAGTGGACTCAATTAACAATTACACAACAACTTTCATAAGTCGTGTTTTTAATAATGCATAAAAATGCATAAATCATTGCATATAATGAGTAATAAATTTGCAGTGCATGTGCTTATACCGATCACTACAGTTCAATATTAATATATCAAAAATCATATGTGTATATTTCCTTTGCTTTTCGATAGTATAATTGTTTGTTTAGTTGCAGATTTTATGATCTAAATACACGTAATGTGTAAGTAATTTGCCTATATAAATATACATTGTAAATAAACTGGCTTTTAAAAAACAAAGTAATGAATTGAGTTTCTTGACAGTTCTTCTCAATCGGATCTATACTGAACTGGACGGTAGGAAAAAAATTACGTTCATAAGCGGCTAAAATGTGCTACATGAATAAATGATTTTTTATTTTGAATTTGAATTTGATGGTTTCCAAGAGTGGTCCGCGTGGAGGTCAACCTGACTGGTACATTGCTAGCAATCATCTGTCCACATTACTAACAAATCTATACCCCGACTAATATGCATTGAACTTTGCAGATGAGACCTCGAAGACTGAGCGGATCTCGTACCCTAAAGCAGGTTTGATACTGCGCACCGCCAACATGAAGGACAACTTGTCCAGCGACTCCTCGGTGCACGCAGGTTTGTATGAAGTTCCATACATACATTATACACATCTCAACTGGTTGTATGTTAATTGCATTTTTTTTATTTTACTTATTTTTTATGCATTATTAAAAACACATTATTAGCAATAGTTAATTTTAAACTTTCGTGTTTAATATACATTATTTAAATTATTAACCGGGTCTTAACACGAATAATTTTATGATAAATAAAGGTATTTACCTCTCTCGACGTTTCGACTAGGTTGCACTAGCCGTGGTCATGAGCTGACTGGAGTAACAGCGATGTCAATGTAGATAGGTGACAGCAGTTTTATCATCTACCGTCACTAGATTGTTTAATGAAAGTTCGCGACACACACCACTCACGGTATCCGTACACTTATTGACTGTTGTTGCTACTGAACTTTGCTTGAATTTATTTATGACTGGATTCCACGCACCACCTATCTACATTAGATTAGTAAAAGTAATAAATGTATCATGACGGTCCTCACTAGGCACTGCTCAAAATCCAAAACTTGCCTCACTACCTCAAATACACTATATCACGCAATCAACCGGGCGCTCCATACTGCTGCCACCGGGCGCCCCTCCGATCGATCCCCCGTCCAATTCAAACGGGGATCGAAATTACGACGGCCCGAGCAGAGCTTCGAACCAAGCGGTGCCGTCAGACTAAAGTCGTATCCGTCAGCCGGGAGTTGGCCTTCAGCTGCTCCATAAGTCCTTCCTTTGGTTTGGAGTGCCATCTGCACTCGCCCCCCATCGTCCGGTGAAGCTGTAAAGGCCAGCTGCGACCAACAGCATTAGAGTAGTCCGAAAAAAATCATTAATATATTTGTACCACGTTTTCTGCAGGTCTAGCGCGTACGGACAGCGACCACAGCCTGGCCTCCGTTGAAGACGTAGTGACCACCAGCACTACAGAGCGTGGCGACGGCCGGACGGTGACCACCACCACCACAACCCGCCGCTCGCAGCACCACGCGGCGGCACACGAGAAGAGCTTCCTTGACAGCACCACCAAGGTGACGGGCGTGCAAGACATACTCACCAGGATGAAGAACGCTGACATTGGTATGTAGTTACTAGCTTTATTTACTGACCACATAACCTCACGCTTCATCATCGCAGCCAGGAAGACGTCCACTGCTGGACATAGGCCTCCCCCAAAGATCTCCACGACGATCGGTCCTGCGCTGCTCGCATCCAATGCCTTCCAGCGATCTTGACCAGATCGTCGGTCCACCTTGCTAGGAGTCTTCCCACGCTGCGTCTTTCGGTCCGTGGTCGCCACTCGAGGACTTTGAACCTCACGCTTAGATGTTAAACATTTTCGTATATATACAGATTCTTTACAGCACATGTAATTAATTTACAGATTTTTTATAATGATATCCCTGAACAGTTCATACAGCGCCATCTAGTCCCAAGCTAAGCGAAACTTGTGTTATGGGTACTAGACAACTGATATAAATACTTAGATACATTTTTTATAAATACAAACGTAATCATTACATAGTATAAAACAAAGTCGCTGTCGCTGTCTGTCCGTCCCTATATATGCTTAAATCTTGAAAACTACGCAACGGATTTTGAATGGTTTTTTTTCCATAGATAGAGTGATTCTAGAAGAAGGTTTATATCTATAATACATGTACACCCGTACGGAGCCGGGGCCAGTAGCTGGTTGGCCACAAAGTTTCTGCTTCACCTATTAATATAATGATAATGGGACATAAAAATCTTCGTGTTTGACATTTTATCATACATACTGCACTGGACGTTATGTTTATTGAATTTTTCATCGTTTTGTAAACAGAAACATTTCCTTATCTGTTGCATTAGAATAAATCTGTAATAATACTTACCTTGTACATACATTACTATCATTGAATGTTAAAAACATATGTATAATACATGTACACCCGTGCGAAGCCCGGGCGAGAAGCTAGTACACATATAAAACACCCAGATTGATACAAACAATTGTACTAGTAATATGAATTTAATTTATACATGAATTGTTTCACGGACATGATTCTTGGGACTCAACCCTAATAACATCATCCATCTATTCGTTCATACCCACAAACTCTCGCGTGTATATTATTAGTAATGTTGTATGGTGTTGCAGTAATCCAAGATGGCGACAGTGTGGAGGACAGCGAAGCACGCGCGCTGCTCAACAAGTTCCTCGGCGCCACCGTGCTCATGGCCGGCATGCAGAACTACGTCACAGAGAAACCCGGGGGAAAACTCACTGTCAAACAGGTACGGGCCATGCACATTGTATTAGAATAGAATAGTAAATCATTTATTCAAATTATTTATTTATTCATGAATAATGTATATTGTATTTGAATGTTGATATGATGGTTGATATATAATAGACTAGCTTTTGCCCGCGGCTTCGCTCGCTTTAACTTACCCCTTACGGATGAAATTTGTCAAAATCCTTTCTTAGGGAATGCCTACGTCATAGTAGCTTTATGCATGCAAAGTCTCAGCCCGATCGGTTTAAAATTGACAAAGTTTCATACAAACTTTCATCCCCCATTTTATCCCCTTGGGGGTAGAATTAAATAAAATCCTTTCGCCTACGTCATAACATCTACCTGCATGCCAAATTTCAGCCCGATCCGTCCAGTGGTTTGGGCTGTGTGTTGATAGATCACTATGTCAGTCACCTTTGAGTTATATACATATATTTAGATTGATAAAATTAATAAATTTACATATTGTCATAAGAATGTCATTAATAACAATAAATAAATAAAAAATCGTCAATTGAGTATAGGCATTTCTCTATTAGTAGTGACTTAAATTTTTTTTGTTAAGCAACACAATTTATTTAATAATTTAGGATCCTTCGGTAACTTATTATAAGGTATCATCGCTTGATTTCTTGGGCATTGTGTTACTATAAACTTACATTGAAGCACTTTTGAATAGTCATCACATTTTTTTAAATCTACCGCTCATTCGGAATGTTGTCTCATCACCGGAAGAATGAGCAAGAAACTTGTCTGTTGCTTGATATCATATTGTAACAAATATTGGACCATTATTATTGTCTTTTGACAGCAATTGCAGAATAACAACTTACGATACTCAGATCGATTCCACATCTTATGAAATAAATTTAAACTTTATTCAAATAAATTAAATATTAGCACATTTGATTTTGTTTAATAGATTAATCAACAGTACTTTTGTAATGAAAGCCAATAACAGATGTTCAATGACTTAAATAGACATATAATATTTTTTTTATTCTACCGCTCGGAAAGCTGACTCGTCACCAGAAATACGTGCAAGGAAATTGCTCTTTTTGTCAGATAGACTTTCAGCAGCTCCGACCAGTAGAATAGAATAGAAAATCATTTATTCAAATCAACTTAATTTAAGCACTTTTGAATTGTCATCCTTCTTTTATGAGTGGTAGACTCATTCGGAAAGCCGTATCATCACAAGAAGAATGAGCAAGTAACTTGTGTGTTGCTCTTTTAAATAATCCTTGTAAGTTCACATTTTACAAGTCGAAACGTGTGAATACAAACTACCGGCTAGCACCATTATTATGGCTAAATATTACATAGTATGTAATATTTAGCCATAATAAATTGGTGCTAGCTACTCGCCCCGGCTTCGCACGGGTATGTATTATATATATAAACCTTCCTCTTGAATCACTCTATCAATATAAAAAACCGCTTTAAAATCCATTGCGTAGTTTTAAAGATATAAGCATATATAGGGACGGACAGACAGCGACAGAGACTTTAGTTTATACTATATAATGATAAGATTAAATCAGTGCTTAATAAATCGAAAAGTTTCGCGTCGTTTCGCGCCATTTTATTCACTAGCATACATATTTCGCGCTCAATTAAACTAACTGTCATTTTTTTCAATCGGTTCAGGCTTTACGTTCAAAAGAACAGTTATTAATTGTAATTTGACTCCAAAATAGACGCGATGTTTTGAATTCGTTTCGGTGTTGCCAGCTGTTCCAACACTGATTGAAACAAATTAATTATTGTCTTTAAATTGAAAACAATGTTGTGAAATTTACGACAGTGGGTAATTGATGTTACATTTTGGCTCGTTTCATGTATCTGTAATGATTTAAGAGGAATAGCATCTTGAGATTGAATACGTATGGCTTTCATTGACCCCTGGACAGTTTTGTCCACTCGTATCTCTTATATTATTTGACAGCCTAGTGGTCTAGTGGTTTAGCACACCGCTTTACTATCCAATGGTCGTGGGTTCGATTCCTCGCACGGTACAAATATTTGTACTCATGAGTATGATTGTTTGTATCGGTCTGGGTGTTTTCTAGGTATAATATGTATTTATTTAGGAAAAAAATGTATCCATGTATTTATATCAGTTGTCTAGTACCCATAACACAAGCTCTGCTTAGCTTGGGACTAGATGGCGCTATGTGAATTGTCCTGAGATATTATTATTATTATTATATATAAAATAACTTAGCCCGCGGTTTCAACCGAGTTAAAGTTCAATGTAAAGTATAGCCTAAATGTTATTCTGATGCATAAGCTATATTAATATAAAGTTTCATCAAAATCCGTTCTGTAGTTTTTGCGTGAAAGAGTAACAAACATCCATACTGAGAAACTTTCGTGTTTATAATATTATTTGGATTCTCATGTCACAATGTTAGTTACCATACTCCTCCGTTTCGGTTTGACCGATTTTTATGAAATTTTATATGCATATTCAGTGGGTCTGAGAATCGTCTACTATCTATTTTTCATATCCATATAGTGTTAAGGGCTCTCCGCCCCTAACATTTATTTATTGTATAATATATTTTTTTTATTATGTGGCATTAAAAATACATTTATTGTTATGTAACAATAAATGTATTTTTATTTATACATTACACCTAAAATTTTCACCCTTTTACCATCAACCCCTATTTTTTAATACCGAATAAATAAATAAATAGGGAGGCATAACATCTTAGTCATCAGAGATGGCAACCCAATGCTACAACCATTTATGTTGGTCTAAAAAAGACTTGTATCCAGAGCCGTAAAACATATTAATAAAAAAAACCGTCACATGATAATATGATAACCGTAGTGCTGTCCACGTCTATATACATGAACGGCAACGGTTACCACTTACCACCTTATGGAAGTGGACATCGGCTTGTTTGCAATACCGGTTATGAATTAAAACCCTGTTGTATGTAACAGATATTCGTTATTTTTAATCTGTTTACATAAAAAATTATGAAAACATTGGAGCGGTATAAAAATATCAGTATTAAGAGCTTTCTTCCGTGTTTTAAAATAGGATTTAGGCGGTGATAGTGTGTGCAGATGCAATTATAGTATCTCAGGACAGAGATCTACTTAACGGCTTTTTGGACTGCAGCCCAGGGCCCCGTGGATAAAAGAGGCCTCAAGCCCAAACCATAGGCATTGTTTGGAATAAAAAAATGTAACATATCAAAAAACCTACCATAAGTTTTACAACCCTAAGATCAATCATAGGCATTGTTTGGAATAAAAAATGTAACATATCTAAAAACCTACCATAAGTTTTGCAACCCTAAGATCAATCATAGGCATTATTTGGAATAAAAAATGTAACATATCAAAAAACCTTTTTTTTTTTTTTTGACTTGGAGAAAATCCCTCATGGAGACCCGCCGGCCCCGGGGGAAGCCCGCGGGTACTGTGAGACTCCTACTCACTAAAAACTCCAAGATGTCCCTCACCCAACGCCTAAGCCGGAGTCGCGGGATCGATGACATTCTACCGCAACTCCGGCGGCGGTGGCCCACTCTAGTAGCAGGCCCCATCTCTGCGGGTTCCCTAAAGGAACCCACTACTTCCCCTCCTCTTCCATGGGGAAGGCGCGCGGGGACATGCGCGCGACTTCTTCGGGCCTAGTTCGGTGGGGTGGGACCGCCCCCGCGGTCTTCACCCCGGCCCGGTAGCGATCGAGAGACGGCTATGTTGCCGCCCCTACCTCCCTGATCGCCAGGAGGGGGACTGGGCTCACGGTCAGTCTCCATCCTCTCCTCCTGTTCGCTCCTTCGGCCTGGGGCCTGAGTGGCTGGCCTTTTCCCTTTCTTATTTTTGGGCGGGGTGCAAGATTTCGCACCCACCCAATGGTTCGCTGGGCGACCCAGTGTGGCACATATAACACACCGCGGATCGGCTGTACAGGTTGCCGCACGGTGGCCTGCTTCCCCACAACGGTAGCAAAGGCCGCTACGATCCTGGGTTTGTGAGCACTGAGTGCTCACATGTCCTTCTTCCAGGCACCGGAAGCATCGCAGCGGCCTTTGCCGCAGCAATTCCGTCCGTGCCGACACCCACCCGATGCGAATGTGTTTCGCAGTAGTCGCCTTCTTGATGGCCAGCAATGGGCCGCGAACCCAGCAGGTCCCCATTCCGAAGGAGTTGCGGCGAATCTCCCCGACCCGTACTGCGTCCGCTTGGCACTCTCCAGCTCGCGCGACTGCCGCTGCAACCTCGTCTGTAGTCGCAGAGTCGTCGAGGCCCATCACGCGCATTTCTGCGGTTTTGATGGGTCTTGCCACTTTTGCCATATTCTCCGGGATGAATTCCCGGAGCTTCGACGCCAAGGCGTCGGCTTTTTCGCCGCTGTCGGCCCCAGGAATCTCGAGGATCCTACCTCCGGTGATAGCTTGGCGCAGTTTAAGCGCCTCTATGCCTAGAGGTCGGAGGTCTACTCTACTTTTTGCCTCCAGCAAGATGTTTGCGTATGTAACGCCTTCTCTCTCGGCGGCCGGATCAATGGTTATTACCACCGCCGCAGAGCGGGGCGGTTTTAACTTCGACGGGGCCGGTGTGCTGGGCTTGGTCGGTTTCGACGAGCTCGGCTTAGTTCCCTGGCGGCTCGTTGAAGCTGCCGCCTGTCCTTCGGTGACATTCACCAATTTGCCCCGCTTTCCCTTGACAACAGTGGCCCAGGAGGCTTCTGTTGGCGGGGGTGGCTGTGTTGCCGGGGGTGGACTTCTTTCCGCCTGTTGGGAGGCCGTTTTGGCTGCCTTCTTGGGCTTCTTTTTGCTGCCCTTGGCCTGAGGTTGTAACCCCTGAGCGTCAGTCCGTGAGCCACCCGCTTTAGCCTGGGGGAATGAACCCCGGCTTCCGTCCTCGTTAGCGGGTGGACGTTCTTCGGTCGAGGCATGGGGAGCTGGGAGGAGACGATCTTCGATGCTCGCCAGTCGTCCATCGATTATCTCGCTCATCCGCCTCACC